ACTTGAACCTTCATACTTTAGGTTAGCAGCCAAGTGCTAACTAAACAATTGGAGGTTCAGCTTCAACCACAAGTGTCTCAAAAGAAAGGCCTGATGATCTTCTGAAAAATCAGCCATTAAAAACCATATAGAGCATAGTTCTACTCTCACTCATGTGGGGTCACCATAGGTCTGAACTGACATGACAGCAACTGGTCTGCTTTGAACAAGAAGAGTCAAAAAATTTTATATTACATTTGAATTCCTTTTAGCAAACTAGGGATTTGTAAGACATTTTACAAAGATCATGTGAAATGTGAAACCTTAATTAGTTGTTCAGTGGAGAAAGCCAGGGATAAAATATCTATTTGGTACCAAATACTGTTGGACTTTGGCATACCGTTAATGAATTTGGAAATACTGCTTACTTTGATGGTCTTCATTCACAGAAGAATCTCAATGATGAAAATGTCTCATTTTGAAGAACGTAAAAGACTTGATGGGTGCTGGGTTTTTTTTTTTAAATTTTAGTATGATGAAAATATACACATCCACACACACCTACTGCCATTGAGTCGATTCCCACTCATAGTGACCCCCATTGGGTGTCTAAGGTGGTAAATCTTTACGGAAGTAGATAGCCTAGTCTTGCTACTATGGAGTGGCTGGTGGGTTTGAACCACCAACTTTCTGATTAGTAGTCAGATACCTGAGGCACAGTGCTACCAGAGCTCCTTAAAAATATAAACAGCAAAACATGTATCAATTCAATTATTTCTGTATGTATAATACAATGACATTGATGACATTCCTCCAGTTGTGCAACCATTCTCTCTGTTCGTTTCCACATTTTTCTACCACCATTAACATAAACTCACTGCCCTTTAAGCAAAATCTACCTCTTTGCCCCTCCCACCCTAGTAACAACTACTCATTTTGGAATTCTTTGTATTTGCTTGTTTAATATAAATGAGATCATACAGTATTTGCCCTTTTGCAACTGACTTTTTTTCACTTAGCATAATGTTTTCAATGTTTGTGCATGTTGTGGCTCACATCAGAATTTCATTTCTCTTTATGTCTGAGTATTATTCCGTTGTATGCATCTACCACATATTGCTTATTGATTCATCTGTTGATGGACATTGTGAAAAGTGTTGCACTGAACATTGGTGTACAGATTTCTGTGTGCTTTCCTACTTTCAGTCTGGATATTGCTTTTGATAGTTCTATGTTAATCTTCTTGAAGAACTTCCAAACTGTTTCGACAGTGGTTGTACCGTTTTACATTCCCATGAGCAATGAATGAGGGTTCCTGTTTCTCCACACTTTGCCAACATCTTGTTTTCCTGTGTCTTAATCATTGCCATTCTAATGGCAGTGAGATGGTATCTCATTGTGCCTTTGATTTGCATCTCCCTAATGGCTAATAATGTTGAGCATCTTTTCATGAGCTGTTGAAACAGCATTTCAGTGTTATTTTATTATTCTTTTTAATTTTTACTGTGATTTGGGTGAAAGCTTACAGAGCAAATTCACTTTCCATACAGCAGCTCACATACACTTTGTCTCATGACATTGACTGCAATTTCCCACAATGCAACAGCTTCCCTCCCACTTTTTCCCCTCTTCCCTGTGACCTTTCCTCTCATGCACTCCTGTCTCCCTGTACATACACAGCCCTTCTATTCTCCTATGATTCATCTCTCCAAGGAGTGAATCTACCTAATGTTCAGTTCATATGCCTGTCTTTTGTTTGGCTGGAAGCCACAGTAATGGGTTCAGTTCCAGACCTGAATTGGTGCTGTTTATTTTTATCATACTGATTTTTTTTTTTTTTACTGAGTGCACTCATGTCACAGGCCTATACACTCAGTTTCCAGATTTTCTGTTGATGTTTGTTTATATACATGTGTGCCCTATAAGTGTAATCATAATGTCCATTTTAATTATTCTAAAGATTATTTGTCTTAAATATTTTCATGTCTTGGCACATAACAACAACAACAACAGCAACAATGTATTACAACTTAGCATTTACTGATTACTATGCAGTTACATCTGCCACTCATCTGTCAGTTTGTCGTGATGGCTTGCATGCTGCTGTGAGGCTGGAGGCTATGCCACTAGTCTTTCAAATACCAGCAGGGTCACGCACCATGGACAGGTTTCAGTGGAGCTTCCAGACTAAGACAGGGAAGAAGGAAGGGGCCATCTACATCTCAAAAACTTGGCCAGTGAAAACCTTATGAATAGAAGTGAAACACTAATACATTACCCAAAAACTTTATGAATAGCCCTGAAACATTATCTGATACAGTGCCAGAAGATGAGCCCCTCAGGTGGGAAGGCACTCAAAGTGGGGAAAGCTGCCTCAAAGTAGAGTTGACCTTCACAGGGGACATCAAGCTCAATCGGCATAACATACTACACAAAAACATTGTTCCACATCCTACTTTGGTAAGTAGTG